AATCAAGGTAGCCGTTAACACTGTATTTACCTTTCTTTGATGATTTATATATATATAGAAAGATTATGTCGAGCGTGAATTTATTTAAACAGCTGTTTCAGATTCAGCCAGGTGTATATGCTAATTGTGTAACATATTCTTAAGCAGGAACCTCATATATACCTCAATTATCTTCTTATTCACTCAATCCTGAAGATTGCTACTGCATGAAACAGGTGTAGAGTAAATTCACACTTGATAACCTTCTATTAGTACTGCACTCTGCATTCGCATGGAGCACTATACGTCGCTGTTACCCCACCCCATTGTTAGTTTCGGTAGTTTTTTGTAGTTCTGATCATTAATAATAAATGCAACTTGATATGAATCTTCTTTGTAGTTTCCATGCTAATAATGTGTGCAGTTGTGAAATGAACATCTTAGTTCAGTCGGCTTAACTTGTGTTAGGTGCTACTATAACACTGCTAAATAACACTGCTACTATAGAAACGTCTCTACTTCATTTCGATTCCTGCTCACCTCTCAGTCAGCCAAAGGGCTTCAATGTAAATTATTATACAGTATAGAGCACCATTTTAAAATCTAAGTTTGCTATTAAACAAGGTATAAACAAATTCTCGCCTCATCACAATCATTATTATCCTGGGGATGGGGGTGTAAAAACTGAGAATGCGGACCTGAGGGAGCGAAAATTAAGAATGCGAAAAAGAATAGGGAACTAAATCACTATTCCAATGAAAATTTAATGGTCATATTTAGCATTTTAATTCACTTAGTGGAACAGATTTACTGCCATGGGGAGGGGGATAATGGGGAGGGTCCACATCCCCCAGCCTACACAAATATTACCTGCCATTCAAAAGGATACTGACAAGTTTCATGTGTGTTTCCAATGGGGAATTGCATTTGCTACAGTTGGACTGAAATGACAGAACTTCCTTATTCAAGTCTGCAACATCACCCTCATCATCATCCTCCGCTATGCCTTCAGCCTCTACAGCCTGCAAGAAAAACAGTACTGCACCACATAAAAAATAATAATAATAATACAAAAACCACACAAACAAATTTATATTCAAGCTCTTTTTACAAAATGGTAATTTCAGACCTACAGTATTATGAAGTAGGAAATTATGTACAAAAAACAAAATTTTATAATACTCTATAAATTATGAGCCTTAAAGTTATCACTTCAATTATTCATAATGGAGTTTAATTATTCATTATTATTGTGATAATGTATACCACAGCATACTAAAGTAATTTAATGACAAAAAAAAACACCATGTAGTTGCACCATCTGCATATCAAATTAAGTGATATATATATACATAATTTAATAGCTCAGATGATTTGAGGTGATTTGATCATTATTATTGTGATGTAACACTAGAATGCTTTATGGTAATTTAATCATTAGTATGCAAAGCTTGAACCATAATGATTCAAACGAACATGGAATTATGCTAGAATAATTTTTAAAGTATGAACTAGTCCCCATGAAGATGATTTAATTACCCAGCTAATTAAAATTTGAATTGCCTAGAGGCTGCTTTGGGTCATGATTATCATTGGAGGCACTCTAACTATTCCTAGGCACACTTAAAGCCCCATTCCCGGCAAAATTTCACTAAAAACTGACTTTTTTTAGAAAATATTCATTTGCATTACTCCAATTATTATAAATCATGGAAAAATATTGGCATGAATTTTAGTTTTACGCAAAAGAATAAAAGAAATGAGAAATAAAGACTATTTCTCATAAAATGTTACCATTTTCTGGACGAATTCATCGTTACTAGGCAAATTCAGAGGTTGTAGATCGCATCCACTGGAATACTCTCGCTTTTATATATACTTTTATACAGTCAATAAAGTGCGCCCTCTCTAATGAGTTTAGTTTTTTGTACTTCGTATCTCGCACAATGCGGTCGTTCGATTAAAGCTGAGATATGTT